AAAAAGACTCGTTATCTCGCGTCAGTAAAATGATTAGCGGCATTATGCAATTTCGATTAACCGTTTTGAAACCAAAGTAGAAGATAATTCTCTGGCGCGCTAACTCAAGAAAACCGCGCAAGCTCGTTATCGCTGAAGAGAAATTAGCGTTCTACGCGCTTCAAAGATCTTTAAATAAAAAGTTAAAATCAAAAAAAAAGGAAAAGATGCAAGATAAATAGCGTCGAATCTTATTTGAATGAAAAAAGATTGATGATAATTTAAGGCGCGTTAATCGCCCTCAACTGGAAAAATAGTGTTGAGTAACAGATATGAGTCATCTAAGCGAAGATCCGTATCTATTTATTTACATAGAGTCAAGTGATATAAGACGATTACTGAGATTAAACAAAAGGCAATTGATCCTTAGCAGACACTAAAAAATCCTTTGCGTCTTAATAAATATATGTGTTCGATATGTAAATATATGTATTGAATTTTCTTGTAAGGATGTGGTGGACGATCACCGGGACTTTTGGGAATATATTACCGATCGACTGGAGCAAATCCTATGCGCGGAAAATGCACATGCCCGCTTTGAATCTGAACGAGGCACCTGCTTCAAGGGAAAGGTAGATACGCTTTAATTACTTGCGCGTTTGGTTATTTGTCAAATATAATTGATTAATTGAAAGTTTATTTTGCAACGAATAAAAATTTATGAAAATCAAAGTTTCACGATACCACCGCTTATTAGGGATCGATTTTGTTTATTTAGCATCAGTGCTTATGCTCGTAAATTCAACGCTTTCGTTTTTTGTTCGCCGTAGACCCGAACTAGAGGATTTGAGTAGCGAAGATGAGGCAGTTGCCACAGATTTGGACATGCATGCTTTAATCTTATCCAGCAGTACCGATACTCACAGCCCGGAAGAGCCACTGAAGACCGCCGAGGAAGTTCTTCGCGAGATAGATGACATAATGCAGGTATAATCTAGACGCAAAAGATATCCTTGTTTATGCGATAGTTGTCAAACGAGCGATTCATAATTCGCATTTGCATTTTATCGTAGGAAAGTCCATCAATGGAAAGATCACCGGATTCAGAAGGTTCTTTATTGGACAGCGACGAGGCTTTGGAAAGAAGTAGAGAAGTACTTGGATCACCACTTCATGAGAAGAGTACGTTTTGAAATACTAATTATATAATATAGAAATATTGATAAACACGATATAGATATATTATTATTTAAAATAAAAATACATGTCATAAATGAATATGTTTCTAGAATTAAAGCAACTCTCCTCCAGCCAGTTGACTGAACTTTTTGGAGAAATGGAATCCCTGGTTGCAGCCTTGAGCGAAACGCTGATCGCTGAGCTTGCGCTCAGAGACGAATTGGAATACGAAAAGGAACTCAAAAATCAGTTTATCTCTTTACTGTTGGCGGTACAAAATCGACGTAGGCAGCATCACGTTACAAAGAAAAGAAATCAAATGCAAAATGGTACTAGTCCATTGCCACAACATAGGTCTTTGCAAGAGCCAAAGGTAAGGTATATCCCGTTGAGTACATATTTACGTAATATTTTATGTAGCCATTAATTTAAAAAAATTGTTAATAACAAATTGTTTTCACTTAAAAAATAAATTTCAGTAATTTAATTATAATTTAGAGAAAAATCAAAACGTTATCTCATTTCAGTACTTGACGACCGTTATTCCATATCATACAGATAGTGGTCCGCCAGACAATCAAGCTTTGCAAGTACTTATCAAAAGTAAGTTAATAAACTATAATCTTATGTATCTTATAATTACATATATTAATGTTATATATTCAATCGCAGTATTAAAGGCCATTAGCGAAGATAGCCCAACAGTACCCACCTTGCTAACAGATTATATACTCAAAGGTAATTAGATTTTTAATTTAATTTTACTAAGTTCTATTTAATAATAGAATTAGTAAGAAAATTAATAATTCTTTTTAATTTCAAACATGTTAAAATAATCGATGGATACTAATTTTTAATGATTTTTAAGAAGTACTTACTTAATTTCAGTGTTATGTCCAACTTAAGGCAAAATGTGAAAAAAAAAAACGAATGTCAACAGAATACTATGTGCTCTCTTCTTCTTGCCAGTACGCTTTCAGCCGTTATTGTGCCGCATGTTATTGCGTAACTAGCTCATAAGTTGTATTTCGATCACACTCGATTATTGTATTGGCTGTAGAAGTAGATAAGGTCTCCGATATTCTATCTAGTCTTAATTTATACATTACGATATGTATATTACCTGCTTAAGATATCATAAGTATATTTTTAATAATTCGCGTAACGTATTATATTTCTTACTCGCGTAAATTGTCATTTCGCGTCATTTTCTTACGCGCGATTTTCATATTTGTATTGTATTTGTATTGTACACATGACTCATACCAATTCAGTTTTGTATTTTTTCTTGTACATATAAGAATCCCGAGGGAAAGCTTTCTCACGCAGAGTCATCGCAAAGACAGCACAGAGCTCCTTATCTAGAATCTTACAAATCGCTACTTGTGTAGATCGATTTCTATTTAAGGAATTCAAATTAGTGTACATTGTTGTAATGCTAGCCAGTATCTAGAGATACTTCATTCACCGATATATCACGCTCAAAGAGTGAAAATCTTGCAGTGTCGGTCAGTTAAATCACTTGCTCCCACTATACGATAATGTAATTGTTCTCACGCAACGCGCAAATGCTCGGGACACTGTGTTTGTTAAAGTAAAAAAAAAAAAATAAAATGATCATTGCTCTCAGATGTATATTTTTAGTAATTTCATTCTATCATTACCCATACCTCGTTATCCTTATACCTCAATTCCTCTATCACTGATATTTTTTTTATACACATACATTTCGGAATACAATAAACATTGTATTGTCATTTTAATGTGAGAAAAAGACCAGAAATATATTTAATCTGACGTTACGATTAAATACAATTACAAACGATCATATTAGAATTACAAGAATTTGATCTTTCAACAGTGTCGTACAGGACATTACGGGACTAGACAGATAGGTTGATAGCAACAATCTGACCTTTGACGATACCATTTGTTTGTCTAAAAGTAAGTTATATAATTATACAAAGTATTTATTTTAGAATACAATCTATATCTCAAATTAAATGTGACGATTATAAAGATGGGAAAAATTTTGCTAATTCACTTCAAACATTCACTTTAAACTCGTTCATAAATATATACATACACCCTGTTCGATGTGGCTACGGTTAGGATAGCCAGGATCCCATCTGATTTCACGTAAATTGGCAATTTTTAAAATCGTGACAGTTGAACAATACGTGATCAAGGGCCTCTTTTTGGGACATGTCCATGCTGGCTTACATTCACTAGGCTTAACATACCAAGACTCAGGATCGTATCTGGGATCATACTTGACGCACATAATCGGTTTATTCGGACTGCGTCTGGAATAATGAATGTCTTTTCTTTATTCTTTTCCGATGTCAATTTCTTCTTAAATTCAACAATTCAATTTGAGCCATTATTTTTGAACACATGTTTTCCTCACAAGGAATCCATCTCTGCAAAGAGACACTTTAAACGTTGCAGCTCTTGGCCTTCGCTACATATTCTATTAGAGAAGCCCCAATTTCCAAGCGCTTCTGCCACGCCAGTGCCATAGCCTCTGGAAAATTCGTATGTGCATGGCAATATTGGCTTTGCCATTTCTTCCATATAAATACTTGTTAATTTTACGAAAATGTTATGTCAAAAATTGTTTTACAGGGAGGCAAATCCTTTAGCTGTTTAACCGTGAAGTTTGCTGATGTGCAATCTTCGAATTTTTCTTTAAACAATCACGTAGTCTTTGCAAATTCACATATGCGAAATTCACATCTGTGAAATTTATACAATGAATTTGGTAAACGACATAATGTATCAGAAATATAATTTGATTCTTACAATGAATGTATCTTTATTTTAATCTAACAGTAATAACATAATGCGGAAGGATATATGTATAATATATATGTGTATATATGTATGTATGTGAATACGTATAAAAACACACACACATATACATACATATATACATATATTACGTTATAATAAATTTATATCTAAATTATCTAATAGTAAAATAGTCCATCTTTTTGAATGATTCTCAATATTTATATCATATATCTAAATATCTTTTAGCGTGTTGACGTAGAATGTTACATCAAAAGTATGTTTTATATGACATATCATTTTGTCATATATAATATATAATGTTTATCTGTATCAGTATTCACAACTGTCATTTCCGATTTTCAATATAGATTGCAGGACCACATCTAAACAGTAATACATGTACTGAAAAATTAATATTCACGCAATAAATAATTATACTAAATTACAAAATATATTAATTGTGTAATAATGAATTTAGATGAGGATTCTTACCGTTGCTTATTGAATTTTTCCGTCAATGTAAGCTTTTATAGCAGTCTGGCATTCCGCAGAGCACCAATGCTGAACCAATAAGTATGTTTCTGATTCAAGCGCGGCGTCTATTTTTTTCCGTAAACTATGACGTAACAAAGCCTTTGTCGCTTCCATGGACTAAAAATAAAATTTTTGTAAAAAATATAATTAATAACATAAAGAATCGTAACTGTAACATATGTGTAAATATAATATAATTCTCTCTTTTTGCAATATCTAATTTTCTTATTTAATTTGTATTCATCTTATTAAAATATATATACAATTTATTAAAATATATATACAATGTTGCGAACAAAACGAATCGTTTCTCAATATTTCGATATTTATTATTTGTTATATCACATCTCTGTATGTTACAAACGAAGCAAAGACAATGTCATAAATATTAAAACGTTTCGTAATTACGAGTCATGTGGGAGCAAACGTAGAATTGAGAATGTATTAGCATTATTGCCACTTGGGCTAACACAATCTAGCTTGTGAATCTAGCGCATTCAAGCACGTACATGATTACGAATATGTTTATCAAAACTTGTTTCTTCGTTTCTCTGATAAACGCGAGTGTTAGTGTGTATACGACAATCAACAGTAAGACTTCTAATGTTACATTCAAGTATATGAAGGGAGTTCGTATACGACATTATATTATGTAAATAGATAGTTCTCGCAAATGACAGCATGACATATCTCTATTAAATCAAAACAGGTTGAAGGGGAGAGCGATTTACATAATTGTAAACCGTATGAGGTATGCAACGTTATTCACGATCGATTTTGGATGCCTAGTTTGACAGAGAGATTTTGCCACTGTCCTAATGGAAGGGAATGTCCGTGGCAATGGACGAAAACTTTTGATAATTCAACTATGCTCCTTAATAATAGATCCGTCTTGAAGGTATCAAAAATATACTCAAAAGAAAAACTATTCAGAAGATATTTTTTAACTTTTGACATATCTTGAATAATCATATTGCCTGGCAGTTTTGCACGCAATTAATAGAACTGGAGACATGCACGCATAAACAAGAAGCTGTAATAGTGCATGCGGAAGGTAATAACAGCTATATAATACCGCACAATGTAACAATAAATTGCATATGTCCACAAACGCATTATTGGAAACTGCAAAAATATATATACGAAGAGTACGGTCTTGTTCAAATATTTAGATGTGTTAAGGTATGTCTTGCTTGTGTTATAACATATAGAGATCAAATTGCTCTCCTGCATTTTATAACTTAAAATTTATATCGCACAATTTCAATATTTTTTTATTACATATTATACGCAGTTACTATTTTTTATTTGAAAAAATACTTAAACCACGCAATGAAAAAAATTTAAACATAATTAAAAATTTTAATAATATTTTTATATTAATACCAAGATCTTATTTATTAAAATGCATATTTTTAACACAGAAAAGGATGTGCGAGACCTTGGACTTTTGTGGCTATATACGATCTGATTTATTTTCGGCATATTATAGATGTACATGTCCAGAAAAGCATTTATGCATTTTTAAGAATAAGACACAGGTAAATGTACATGAATTGCTCTACACCGGGTCTGCTTATATCGCTTATTGCTATCGTTTTTAAATAAACACAAATACTGACATTACAATCTAATGAATATAAGAAAAATTAAAAGAATTCATATTTTGATATCATTTATGTAAACTATCATGTATATATATATATATATTATATAAAATATATTTCAAAAAGCTTATTAATTAAAATTAAAGCTAAAGGATATCGTTATTCAAAACTCACCTGTGATGACTGATCACTCATAGCTCGCAGCGATGGTAATAATTCTACTTGAAACCGATCAGGCCACAGAACTCGAGTAACGAGACCGGCTCTTAATGCTTCGCTCGCTGTTAGAGTCCTTCCACCCAAAAGAAGTTCGCTTGTCTATCAAAATGTGTAAATTCATTATTTTCCTATTATCTACTTTTACATTTTTATACATTATGAGAATTGTTCAGGACTTACAATTGCACTGCCTAGTATATGTGAAAGCGTAAAGATTGCAGCTCCTTCAGCAATTTGTCCTAATTTTCCACAAGGCGTACAGAAGGTAGCCTTATCGCTAGCAATTACAAGGTCAAAAAGAGGCAACATAGTAACCCCAAGTCCAATTGCAGCACCTTGCACGCCAGCCACTATAGGTTTATTAAAAGTAGCCAAACTTTTTATAAAATCCCTGAAAAAAAAACAAAGATTTCGATAAGATATTACATCATACAAAAGAATATATCAGCCATCTCGTGCGCGTACTTATGCGTGCTTAAATACATACTTGACAGCGTGTGCCAACTCCTGAGCAACAGATCGTCGTTCTTCTTTATTTGCATGCAGTAATGTTGAAACATCGAGACCTTCACAAAAACTTGTACCGGTCGATGTTAACAATACTACCCTACATTCGTCGTCTCTCTTTAATATCGACAGAGCCTCTTTGAATTCTTGCATCACCTAATATGATTAAAAGTAATGCGTTTTAGCAATTTTTTTTACAGTCTATAGAAAGTCTTCAAGTGTACAAATGTACTTACCTGTAATGTAAGAGCGTTTCTTATTTTCGTCGAAGAGGATGGTGTAAGTATTAGTTGTACGAGATTACCATGTCGGCGCACATTTATTTCCTTATTACTAAACTGACTCTGCGTTTCCGCTTTCGTTTTGTTATTATCCAAGTCTAACGTTTTCATGGTACTCGCGTTTACTAGAATATTATGTGTGCAACAATATTTAGCACGTGGATTATTATAAATTATTATAAATTATTATTATAAATTATTATTATAAATTATTATTATAAATAAATTACTTTTAACATTCTATCTTTTTTTTTTTTTTCACATAAACAAATCGACTATCATAGTTTTATTTTATGCAAAAAGGATATTATCAGAGATACAAATTTACCTTTACCTTTGCTCTTTCGAGTGGTCGCAGCATTTCGACCGGTAGCATTGACGACCGAAAGAGCGGTAGCCGCCTCAGCAAGACAGGCGGACAACTCATCTTCCTCTTTTAAAGAATCCTCAACGTTGTCAGGATGATTCGCTCTAGCAAAAGTTACTTTGCTTTTCATGGCCTTTTTGTTCTTCGCCGTTACTTTCCCCGTTACTGCACCATTCGACGATCTGGTTGTAACTTTACTGGAAACATTGTCTTCAACGGCAGGAATGTTTTCTTGCTGTTTTCCAACCTTGTCGACTTTCCTGATCTCTGATTTCTTGCCAGAACGAACGGCGACAGGAACTTTTTCTTCTGCATTATTAACGATAGCATTACTAGCAGCTGTGACGGTCGTCGTAGTAGTAGTAGTAGTAGTAGTAGTAGCAGTAGCAATAGTAGTAATAGCAGTAGCAGTAGTAGTAGTAACGGTACTGGTAGCGATAATATCGGTATCAGACTTTTGTACTGTTTTCTTCTTTTTCTTCGCATTATTAATTTTCTCATCTTGCGAATCTCGTCTCTTTTTGGCGGATCTTAAGGAATGAACAGTTCCGTCTTCCATCTTGACGGGCTCCACAGATTTCTCAGGCGAATCAACGCTAACTCGAGGACTTCCAGATGCACTCGAAAACGAACTGGATGAGTGCCGCCTAACGATGATAGACGCTTCAGCTGCATTTCGAATTTTCGCTGGAAGTATAAATTCTGTGGGTGAGGCAGTATTTGAAATTTTTGTCGACGCAACCTGCTCTAACGTCTTTTTGTCCACGTGAGCATCGGCCAGCTGCATCGACGTTCTCTTCGATCTTGGCGACACCTTCGTGACGCCTGCGATCGTTGACGTACGCAATCGCAACACGGCATTGCGAACTAATTTTTTCCTAATTTTAAGTTCACGTTGCACCTTCTGCAAATCCATCACTTTCGCTCGTGACTTTGTGATAGGAATCAGACGCTTCCTATCCGGCTGCTCTACGTCGTACAATAAATTGACAACACCTTCATCCTGCAGCAATCTATCTATTTCGTTTATATTCTTTTTCTTAGGTTTCACCAGATCACCAGATGGACCCTCAGCTATCCGTTTTGGTGATTTCGAAACAGTTTTTGGAGGCGTCTTCTTCGGTGACGGAGTCAACTTAGTTTTCAACTGAATAGACTTCTTATCAGTTGGCATTTTTTGACGTAGCAATCTTTTGACCACCATTCTTCTTTTGGTGATGGGCCCCTTTTTAGCGAGACCTGGTCTCGATCGTTTCAGAGGAGAATCTTCGACTTTATTCGAAACTGGATCTACTTTATTCTCAGATTGCTTACCTGTTACTTCCTTCGTGACGGTTTTCTCGTTATTTACAGCATCAGCGTCCGTCGCAATATGATTTTCAGTCATCGAGTTATCGTCAGAGACGGACTTTTCTTCCGTTTGCTTCTTATTCATTGAAACCTTGCCCCTGTACACTTTCTGTCTTTTCATCGCGTTTTGTTCGTGTTCCCTCGCTTTTTCGGTAGGTTTGCGCTTTCTACCTGATCTTGACTCTTCTAGTCGTATGCTCATCTCCTGATTTTTTTGGCCGCCTTTTTGTTCGCGTGATGAGGAATGCAGATCGATAATTTCGATAGGTTTTGTATTTGGTTGTGCGTTCTCACTCACTAGCTCTACATTAACTTCCTTTCGCTCCTGCGTAGCAAGCGGACTCTCCGCGACAATGTTCACATCTTTAGGAATCTTGCTGGGCGCTGCTCGGAACGTTTTCTTTTTTCGTGGTTGACTCTTCTTGGACGGCATTATAGGTAATTCAAGGAGTTGTTTTAGTGCCAATTCTCGTTCGACCGAAGGATCGAGCTTTGGTGGAACGCTTTGCTCGGAGTGTTCCAAGCTTGATGGTGTTTTATTTTCTTCTGTGCGAAAAGGTGGCTTTAAGATAGACCAGTCGGGATCAACATCACCCTCTAAGATAGCCAATAACTCCTTGTTGTCAGAACTGCCATCCTTGCCCGCTTCCGTTGTCGCGTTCCCCGCTGCTGTTTTTCTATCACAGTTATCTGCCACCAGTTGTGCAGTTGTGGAAGAGGGAGATGCTGGCGAGGTGGCTTGCTGTGGCAATGGTATAAGTCCTGGTATTGGATTTACCGGGCCACCCGACAATTTACTAGACAATCTTTGCGTTAATTTTTTTACAAAAAATATATCTGGTCCTGGTGGTGCGTCTACAACAACTTTTTGCTTTTCGCGAAGACGCTCCTTTAAGACTTCTGTTACTTCTGCCGGCGAAGCTATCTGACTGGTTAAATGTCGGGAACGGCTTTTAGGAACTGTGATATCGTGCGACGTTGCGTTAACTGTACGCGCGTCCACGCTTCTTGAAGATTTGCTCGCTACAGAAGAATTTTTTTCACTCTTATTCAATATATCCTTAATAATAGCTTTAGATTTTCTTTGATTTTCCATCTGTTCGGTCGACTGTTTTTTTGGGCTCTCGGTTATGACATCACATGTCCCATCTGCGGTGCGTTCTTTATCTATAGAGGGGACTTTTTCTTGAGAAGTTGCGACTGATTTATTTGAAACTGTCTGGTCTGGCTTAGTCTCATCTAATAAGCTCTTTAATTCGATCTCCACAGAATCGTGCTCTTTTAAAGTTGATTGTACATCTTCGTCCGTATTCTCAACACCCCAATCATCAAATATATCTTGAATAACGCTTCTTTTTTTCTTCGACGAATCAACCGCGGCTTTACAAACAGATGCATCGTCCTCGTGCTCAATCGTCTCTTTAACATTTTTATGATCATTTTCAACTGGCCGACCCGTTGGATCGTCTGACTCAACTTCCGTGATTATGATTTTCTCATCTATAATAATGGTAATATTTTCTTTATCGTTTCTCTCGGAATCGATCAAAGTTTTGTCATCAGTTGCTTTTATTTCAACATTTTCATCATTAACACTTTTATCAATCGCAATCTTTCCATCGATTATTTTTACGGAGTTCGCATCACATTTGTGATTGTCTATGTAGCCCGTATTATTTTGCTGTTTATATTGTTCTGCAAGCGGAGTGTCAATAACTTCGGTTACTTCTATTATAGTGTTGTCGTCTTGTTGACTATAATCAATTAGGTCAATTTGATCGTTACTATGGTCACTTTGCACTTGTTTCTCTTGTAAGGTAACTATTTTTTCCTGGTTAGATTCATTATTAGCATTATTCTCTTCCAGAGTGACAATAAAATTATCCGCCGTTGCATCATTTGCAACTGGTATGGTCTCTACTACTACAACAACCTCGGTCTCTTCTTGTACTAATTTAGTCAGTTCAGTTTCAGTGTTATTTACTATTGAGCTATTGCGGCTACTGTCACTATCGTGTGTTTCCTTGATTATTTCTTTAACCGACTCGTGTGAGTCTCGAGTCTGCTGGCCCCCATTTTCATTAAGTCTAGACTCATCTAGCGCTAAACTCTGCTTATCTATGATATCGGATTTACTCGCGTCTTCTATTATATTACAGCTGCTTTCTAGACTATCTGTTGCCTCTTTATCTTCTTTTATTACTTTAGATTCGGTTATCACATTTAGGCTTTGGTCTTCCTCGTTGGATAAGTATTGCGATTCGTGATTCGAATCTTCTTTTACATCGCAAATCTTAATCTCCTCCTCCTGTTTTAATTTGTCAACTTTCACTTTGGGCTCACTCGATTCAGATTCCGCTTGGTTATTTGCACTGTCGTCAATCTCTTCAGGGGACACCTCGCTGCGGCCTGCATTCACGTAATCATCTGACGCAACTACTACATGAACATTGGTATTGTCTACTGTTAATACAGATTCTGGCGGTAGCTTGCACGGCTTTGAAAAATCCTGGCTATCTTCCGTAACAGTGGCAGCTTCTACATCTTGTTTAGCGATCGGGTCTGCTTGCGCGTCGACATCCGTTGGGGTCGTCTCCTCGACTATCAAAATCTGCATCTGCGACGCGTCTGATTGTTCCATATTGGTAAAGTACCAAGATGCCCCGAGTTTATCATGAAATCATACAATTCCCTGTTTCGACAAAAAAAAAAAAGAAAAAATATCATGAATAAAAATCTAGTAGATACCCGCGCTAAAGCGTAGTTACGAGAATCATAACCTAGTTAAAATCCTATAAATCCGAAAACCCGCGAATATCGGTAACCGATGATAAGAACAACGGTCGGTCATACGAATGAGATGAGATGCGAGCCGCGAAGATATCTAAGCGAAGATATCGGCATGATTGCCGATCTACTCGCACGCGGAAAACGAACGCGGATAGCGCGCGAGCAAACGAGAAGCTACCAGCAAGATCGGCAAAAATAAACGGTGGCGGCGTCGGTGCCGTTGAATTCTTAATTAAGCGATATCACGAAGACGCGGCCCGAGAGCGGCCCGAATGCGCAGAATGCGGCTAGCTCACCGTGTAACGGAGAAGCGCTCGTACTTCTTGCATTCCGGTGGGAATCACATGATAACACGCCGGTCGTCTCGTCGATGGGCGGCTGCGCGATCGCGCGCGCGTTAATCCGCAATATCCGCGCCCTCGCGGCGTCTAGTCGATCTCTCGTGGGAAAAAACAATTATCCCGACGAGTCCAAGCACCATGTTTACAGGACGGGGCCAGGAGCCACGCGCCACGGACGTCAACTTGAGTCAATTTGATTCCGAGGTCCCCTGGTCCTCTCGTCGAATCCCGCGATCGCGTTGTCGCCGACACGTCGCCTCGATAGGTTATCGCGCGCAAAGGACAATACACAAGTCTTTCCTTTCGGCTTTCTGAGACAGTCACGGTTCTACCGTTGATCAACGTACGGGCTGAATACCTCGGAATTGCTACGCTCGCTTCGCTCGCGGCTCGTGCCGTATATATGCATGTATGTGTGTGTGTGTGATGTGTGTGGTGTGCGACTCTGAGAGCTTTCCACAAGCATTCACAGATACCATGTCATTGGCCGTTGGATAGTGTATTTTCTAAAGCTCTATAATTTCTCTAGTCAACAACCTATCGTGTGACGTTGAGTTTAAGAGTTATCTCGGAAAGCTCCCTCTAATGGCTTCTGCACGCAGGACGCGGCAACGCTTGTCGAGCGACGTAGATTAGACGGTAACCAATTATTGGCTGCGTTTAGCAAAGAAAGCAGCTTTACAACTGTGTAAAAATTTTTAATAAAATTGCTTTCTGTTCTTAGTTCCTTATGAATTTAAATGTGTAAATCAATCTTACAACAATTGCAAAGCTGCTTTCTCTGCTGTATTCAGTCAATGTATCGGTGCATTTTCTGTGACTCGTCGATCTTACGGCGAGTTTACAATTAATGACGAAATTGTGCGAGCTCATTGGTCGAGACATTGACAGATTCGGTAAATAAAGGATATGTTCCAAAATTTATTGTCAATGCTGATGATGTATACTATACGTCACGTGAATTGTAGATTTTCAGCGCTGGCATTGAATTTTAGAACACAGCCGAAATGATGGGTTCAACGGCCTGAAAAATTTGTGAAGTCAAATAAACGCGTGAATCGAAGGTGGGAAGGAATAGGCGACTGTCTCATCCGTCACGTCGACGCAGTCACGCGGAATCCGATGTTCGATTTGCGTTTCAAGAATTCTAATTGATATTTATTTTCGCAAAACATCAGATATCGAATGTACAATAATCACTCTAACGTTCCATTTGATAAGCACTAAGTGTCTTGCTGCGATTTATTGTGAAACATCGCTCTTTCAGGTTACTATATATACAGATTACTTATCGATATGTAAATCATCTGTCGATGATGTAGGAGTAATAATACATAACTTTGTGTTTTGTCTCTGTTTATTTTTATAGAATTTTTTAAATTCACACGATATACTCGTAAAAATGCCTAGCAATCAACGAGACGTAATGAGCAAAATGAGTAAGACAACACCAAAATGTGAAGCAACGACAGTCAAGACTAAGAGTTCAGGAAGTCAACAAACTTCTAAAACTCACAATGTAGAACATAAGGTTTCACTTAGCAATATTTTTTAACAAACTTTGCATTATGTTTGAATAAATTTTTATTATGCAGCATGTAACAACGACTCCTTCTAAGGAAGTTTTATTACTTGGTCAGGACCACATTGTTGAAATCACAGTAAGCAGTAAAAAGGTCAAGGATCAGAAACATATTTCACCTACAGTGAGTTTTAGTCCTGGACAGAAGATTGAGAAAAAAAAATCTACGACTGTTGAAAATAAGAACTGGGGTGATACTTTTAGGCAACAAAATTTGTTATATATGGCAAAACAGTCTTCTAAACGTACTGAAGATAGAGAAATCAAAAGGAATGTAAACATTAAAAAACCACAAAGAAATATTGTCAAACATCCTGTAAGTATTACACATTATATACATGAATATACTTCTATTTTTGTTTAAATATTTCTTATTTGTAGTATGTTGGAGAAATATATAATTTCATACTAAAAACTCTCTTACTTCAGGTGAAGTCAGAAGAAAAACATTCCAAAACTTCATGTTGTTCATCAGTCCTTGTTCGGGATTGTGCTGTACAATGTTCTGAAATATTTTATAATAATAATATTGCTGAATTTAATCCGGTATATATGTTACATTTAATAAAACAGTTAAAAGAACTAGTCAATAAGAAAGATAAAAGAACTTGTGAGATCTTTACGGAAATGGAACAAATACTGCAAAAATTACCAGTAAGCTTTGTAAAATTACTATCTGACTATGTAGTTGTGATTTATATTTTTTTATAGCTTTTTTTATTATATTTTGATATTTATTGATTTTGATAGTTTTTTTTAGTGTTTGTATTCTCTTTAGTTTCTTTATCTTCATTATGTTTAAAACGCTATTCTTTTGGCATATACAACAAATTTTGTAGCCTAAAAATATCATTACAATTTAATTACAGAATTTTATTATTATTAATCATCATGGACTTTCCCAACCTTCTGTAATTTATGCATGTTCCATAAGCTCTATTAAATCTTTTATATTACTTTTATTTTGGAATGAGTTGAGATTGGTGTTCATTTTTACAGAATCTAGAAAGCAAATTAGAACCGAGTTTAATTTCATTAACGGAATCTTGTAAAAAGATGAAGGCTATGTGTGAATCATTCATATTAGAACGAGAAAAATTGCAAAGGTTTGTCATGAAATATCAATATAATAACAAAATTTAAAACAAAAATACAAGTACTAATTTTAACTTTTTATTTTAAATCAGTGAAATTTCAAACCGAGATGAACGATTAAAAGAAGCTGATCAGAAATATATAGCATTAACACGGCAATTTGAGGAAGCAATTTGTAAAAAAAATGTTACAATGTCAGAGTTAAGGCAACAAATTGAAAACAACGAAAGAACAATTGTAAATTTAAAGGCAGATCTAGATAAGCAAATCGAAATTGCAGAAAAGAATTACATTGATAACAAATATTTAACAATGGAGATACATAAGCTTTCAGAATTATCTTCTTATAAAGATATGCTAAGTACTGATTATCGGCGTACAATAAAGTTAGTATATTTTCGGTTATTAATAATATGTGTGTCTTTAAAAATTTAGCGATCGGTGAATATATAGTGTGAATGCTACAAATTATACTTTCTATTTCCATTCTATTTGAAATTTATACATATTAATTTATATTACAGAGAACTACAAAATCAAATGGCCGAGCAGTTAAAGATTGTAAATGAAGTATGTCTGAAGCTGAAGGCAGGAGGCGCAAGTCCTCAAATATCATTAGTCAATATAGGACATGCATGTTCGTCTCCTACGTCAAGTCTCTCTGACAAATCCTGGCATGATTTATTAGATATATCTTCAGTAAATCCTCAAGAACAGACTTTAAAAAAAGATATGCCAGTTAGAGAATTTGAACTCGTTAGCTTACTCGATGGGGAATCATCGTGTACTATAATGCCAGATCAAAAAGGTAACATAATTATTAATCGCTGGCATAATATAATTATCTTGATGCAATTTTTAACTTACGTTAATGTTTATTTTTAACAGTTACGAATGATAATGGAACAATAATGCAAAATAATAATGAAAATAATATCGTTTCTTCTCAAAATGTGAACGATACGATCGCAAAAAAATCTGTACGTCACTCAAAGAAGAATCACGATAAAGAAAACGACAAAATGAAAAAGTTTACAACACTTAAGGAAAGAAAAAATAATGCCAAAAATTCATTCCATCTTAACGCATCAAAAGTTTTTGAAAACATGTCTACCAAGTCAACAGTTTCTGACGTAAGAAAGCAGAACGATATGCAATATAGGAAACCTGTTAATATACCAAGTCCGTTACGGGACTGTCCACATCCTGATTGGAGTGACAGCAGTTTACCTAGCATTAGTACGACTTCCAATTTAGATATGGTACCCTCGAATAATGTTTGAGAAACTATACGCTTAAGATTGAATGGTAATGGCTGAATTCTCGAAAATCCCATGTAGGGATTTAATCCCATATAGAGTGTTATTGATATAATTCCCATGATATTGATTGAATGTGTATATAGATTTATATCTTGTTGAACTGTGATAAACTATCATAATGCATATTCTAGTTCATAATAAAATCCAAAGCTAGTGTTTTACATTAAGTAAAACTGCTCAATAATCACGATATTTCTGAAAATATTAACACGTTAAACACACAATTTGCACGCACATTCCTATCGAAATAAAAAATTGTAAATTGTACTTTACACATCTTGCAAGTTTTCGTGTTGTTTTATATATTTGTTTTCAATATTTTAACGCTAAGATATATAATTTAATAAGATTGTAAAACTCAAATTGTAAAAATAGACAGTCAAAAATATATTTTTCTGTAAATATATAAAACTTTTATTTGTAAATTCGCTTGTAGTTCTCACGGTATCAAGATTTTGACACATATAACCTGTATTATTACGAATTAACTATGCATATAATATGTTTCAACATATACATTTGCTTTACGGAGAACAGGTCACGAATATAAATTTTACGCACACAAGAGAACAAGATGTATATATATAGATATATATATATTTTTTTTTATCACATATGTATATATACAAGTAAAGTATAATACTTATAATATTTTGTAAGTCTTAATAGGATTAAAGGGAACATTTTAATACACGTAAAACATTCATCAGCTTTGCATGAAGACGTCTTGAAATACATCTTATATTCGTGTTTTTTTTCGGTAAGCGTGTAGTATGTACTTTTTCTTCGATTTCTTTTTTTCTCTCTTTCTCTTTTGACGGCTTCTGATGACCGAGAAACTTCTAACGGCTAGTAACATTACGAACACAGTCCCAACGATTCGATGCGCGCAAAATGAGTAACGATAAACATCGAAACGAAAAGGACTGTCTTCGCGTTTTCTCCTTTTTTTTTTTCTTCCTTTTTCTTTTGATCGTTCAGATGAGAATGCGGTGGAAACGGATGATAATATTTAAAAGTCTTTATTTTTTATACTCGTGCTCTTTCACAAGGGTAATTTTCCTCGATTTATTTCTCTCTTTTTTTTTTTTCTTTTTCTCTACATTTAGTTACATAATATACCTAAGGACGTACCGTGAGTCAGTTTTTATAAAATAGTTAATCACAAGTTTTACAAACAGTCGTTCAATTTTGATTATTAATTCCAGGCTTGACTCGACGCGTCAGCCCCCTTTTCGCATTCTCCCATTTTCACATTTTTCATAGATTCGACATCGAATCCTTCCTTTCCTATTGGAAAGCGATGTCCCAATTTGGCGACATCCCGCTCCGCGTTTGAAGAAAATTCCGTCGCGAATTTGGCGAATTGAAGAATATCGAAGTTCCCTTCTTTCGAATACGTATACTTTCACGTACAAATAAGTACGGCTTGTCTTGTTTTTATTATTAGAGGCGATTTAAGAAGAAAAAAAGCTATTTGATTTTATTTAATTCGTTCGTGTGTTTGTCACACAATAACAAATCTCTGATATATAGGCCGTATCAAAAGTCGCGTACGACTTCTTCCCTAAGAAAACCTTTTATCAAAAGCCCTCAACTGATCGAAACTTTTTGTTTGTCCTCATAAGATTTGAGGCGTGCTTCAGAGTGCATCTTGCTCCATAGGCGTATCCGGGATTTTTTTCGGGGAGTGGATTTATTAATAGCAATTTTTAATAGCAATTTTTTGCATTGAATTACTTCTTTGAATATTTTAGAGCTTAGAATCTTCCCATTCCTGATTTTGAATGAGAAAAATATTAAATTTTGTAAATTATAACTTTAATTTTTTTTAATTTCGAGAGGCTTTGAATTCTGCAAACCCCTCCCTTCCCTTGGATATGCCCTTGTCTTGCTGTATATATTTAAGCATAAATCGATAAAACGAGATTTACTAATTAAAAAATAAGGTTTATATAATTTATTTATATCTCGATGACTCGAAGACGACCTTCCTTTTAAGGACTCCCAAAGCTTCCTTTTAATCATAACATTCATAATTTTTAATGCAGATGCTCCACACACAGTTTCGTGAAGCGTCGTATTCAAATTCGGGAAGTTTGTAGTAAGAAATCGTGGAACTTTCGACACGGCCTGTACATAAGAATTATGTTAAAATTAAATTTGATAACGAATATAATAAGAAAAAAAAAAAAAGAAGAAAATGGAAAAAACTGTACAGTACTCCGCCGATGAGAAATCAGATCTCGACGGGACACTGTAAGTCGATCGACCAGGTGATAACGGTGTGTGATGACGTTGCTGATGGAAGGACACATTGTATACGCAAATGTTTGCCACGTAACGATTCGATGCTGGCTAACTTTTGCCCGTCGGCGGAAGGCCGAGAGATCGCCTTCGACGGGGGGTTGGTTACCACGTCCGACGAGGCGCGCGTTCGCGGAAACGATACGGAAATGCGGAAACGCGACTTTTGATTTCGATCACGCTCGACCGAATTCCGCGACGATCCGACCGGAGGAAACGCGGAGGATCATCGCGTAAAGTTGCGCGATTTTCCCGTGCGTCCGTGTTGAACGCCGCGTTACGACCGTTCGCTCCCGATTGTTCGCGTCGCACTCGCGTTCTCCTCCCGGAGAAACGATTCGCGATTCTATCCGAAATCCATTACACGGAACAGTAACATCGAGGGCTGTCGCGGGAATTTTACATCGGCGTCGTTTTTTCTTTCTCTCGCGTACGAACAAAGATGTTGAACAAGAAAATATTTTAACGCACACAGCACTTCGTGGAAACCTTTGCGTAAATGCATACAAATGTGTGTGTGTGTGTGTGTGTGTGTGTGTGTGTGTTCGTATATCTATCATAATTTAATAATACTATATAGTAACAACATGTGTGTGTGTGTGTGTGTGTGTGTGTGTGTGTGTGTGTGTGTCGTATAGTACTATCTATTTAATTAATTAACTATATGTACTATATGTGTGTGTGTGTGTGTGTGTGTGTGTGTGTGTGTGTGTGTGTGTGTCGATCGTAAAGTTAAACGCATCGGCGTTCGCAATTCGCTTTTGGTACTATCTGCTTCTTCTCCCTTCTTTTTTGATTTCTTCTCTTCGAAACAGCATAAATCTCGCGATTCTGGATAGCCGAAGAGTCAACTGGCGTCAATGTACAATCGGACGCTGCGACAACGGACGAATGGAACGCTAACTATTTTTTTGTCTTTGGACAGGCCAGCACGTTTTTCACAATTTTGGAGGAGAAGAAATTAACGCTTTCGAGATCTTTCATTTTTTTTTTCTTTTTTGCGGATTATTAACGGCCGTAAAACACGTCGTCGCACGGTACAATATCGCTAACATATGTATACGTATCGTATAATGCGTATATTACAGTAGACGATCATTCGTGTAGAAATCGTAAAATTGTGAGTCGATTAAAATGAATCTAGCCGACTTTAATATCCTAATTAATAGTCTCAACTATAATTATACGCCCAAATATAGCTCAGATATCGGAAGTGATAGTGGGCTGTTGTAAAAATAAAAATTTAACATTTGTCATCTTGAGGTTGCATGTATGGAAGGACATGTTTTATTGTTTTATTGTACGTTATATACTGCTTTGTTCGGTGTAAAAATATAAAGCATTTCGATTACAGACTTCATACGTACGGGCGTTGCCATTGTTACGGAGTAATCGGCGACTTATTACGCGATAACTTGTCTCTTCACTTTCTTGCAACTTGTTCTTTTCTCGACGTAGGATTGCGTGCGCCGTTAAAGAAAAAAAAAAAAAAACAAAAACAAAAAACGATAGATAAAAGATAACTATGAAACAAGATTATAGGGAAACATAATTGTTCCAAAATCGGCTCAGCATGGAAATTATTCCTGGATAATGAAAAAAATTAAAACGTACGCACGTTTTCCGCTAGAAGACTAATGTCAAAATCTAATAATTAAAAATGCGAGATAATGAATGGTTTTCCAATTTCTCAGATCCTTGTGTCTGATAATTTAATCGTTTCCCGAACGATGATCATTACATTTCGTAGTAAACGAAAAAAGTAATCTCAGCTGCAATCCTATTTCAAGAAACAGTCCCGAGTTCTCGTTCGTCTAACAATGGCCCAGGCTATGGAGTTAATAATTGCTTTCATGTGGCAATGGTAACAATATGTGTGTATAACAAATATACTTAGAACGGTTTCACTTGTGGTATTACGGCTCTCTGCAATAAATCATATTCATCTGTTCAACTGCTGCTGAATAACAAGGTATGCGGAGTATATCTGAGTACAACGTGACCGACCCCTTCGCATCGCTTTTCTGTCAAACAAGAGACAATTACTCATGTAATTATCAAGGAGACAAGAATGACTTTTCCCGGACATTCGACATTTCTGTCTCTCGGTCCAGTCGTCGACTTTTAAAGATCTCTCCTCCCGTAAGAAGTAGAAATTCAGGGAAACCGCTTCGTTCTATTAAATCGTCAGAGACAGGTTTAAAAATCTATCAATTTTCCCCCGTTCGTTTTAATCCTTCAAATGGAATTAAGCGACTTAATTCTTTTATTATGGTAAATTCCTCTCCATTCCACATCGGGCACTTTATTATATCGTTATACTTTATTCCACAGAAGGAATTAAACAGATTATTATTTCTCCGATCGCTCTTGTAAGCCACGCTACGTTTATCATCCGACACTATCAGTTTCCCTTAATTCCCTTTTTTTTCTTTGCGGGGTTAATCTTAAATCCGCAGATACTGGGTATCCTCCCACCTTAGACGCTCCCTCGATTACGGGTAAATCGCAAAAGTAATTGTCTGGAAAGCGACGCGGAAGCTTCCGTCGATGCATGGACTTGTTGCAATTAAACACTATACACTTCCTGCTCGTGCTCCCAAAACACGACGTACGAACTTTCGAATGACTACTATTTGCAGTCTAATAGGCGCGCAACGAGAGATACGCAATGTGAATTATCGTTTATTATTACTAATTATTCTCTGACGAGCATTCGTGTGTTTCTCTCTCTCTCTCTCTCTCTCTCTCTCTCTCTTTCTCTTTCCTCTCTCTCGTAACGCATATATATTTGTTACGTATATAGTATAAACATTTGTTTTCGCGCACTTGACGCACCATGTACCGTCTCCCAGCGTACGGTCACGAGATACGTAGAAATGTCATCCAGCATCCGATAAGGATCGCAACGTAAAGCTGGAAAAGAGTTTCTCGCTTGCGC